TAGCCCCATGTTTCCAACAATGTGCCCAAGCAAAAATCGAAGTTTTGATTTTGCAGTTAGGTAGAGAAGAGCAATCATTTCTGATCAAAACAAAACAAACCCGATCGAAAAATCTTTTGTTTTGATGGAGTTATGGAACTTTTACTAAAAGCACCACTTTACCCAGAATTTAAAAAATTAATGAAAAATTGCGTGACAACAGATCGATCACTCATTATTTCTCCATGGATTTTGATGTGAAAAAATTTGAAGTGTAGCTAGAAGATAGAGCGAAGTCACGGCTACATAATGGCTGATTCAGGTTTTCTTACTTTGAAAACTTTAACACAAGAAATCGTTTTTGAGTTTGGAAAGTTTTCATTTTTTTCGTCTTTCGTATAATTTGCGTAGTTTTCTTGATTGAAGTTTTGAAATTCTAATTTAAGTATGGTTTTGTAGAGTATTTCGCGGCGCATCTTTTAAAAAAGACACCAACCTTAGAGTCCTAAAGATGCACGAGAAAAATAGAAAATACTTGGAGGATCATTTATTCTGCCGCACCCGTTAATCAAAAATGTGGACTTATTTTTATTATTTAATTAATCTGAAAAAACGACAAGAAATAGCCAAGCTAAATATGAATAATGAATTGTCAGTGAGTACTATGTATCATAATGATATCACTTTTTCTGGCGTTCTTGCTATGTGTGAGATGAACGATTTTGTTTGCGGACGAAACTTTTGTCGCGCACTGTATATATGGTCGAAAACACGAAACTCTTGTAATAATTCGTTCAAGAGAAAAAGCAGCAAAAGTAAGAAGTAATTGAAGAACACGAAAATGTGTAAAAAAACAAGAAAGAAAACAGAATGACCTCTTTTTCATTCTTTTTAAACATTTATAATGAGAAACACGATGATGCGGCAAGTTAACCCTCTTATCATTTTAGCCAACTACAAAGAACAGAAAAAAAAGCAAGATTGTGCAGGAGATGAAAAGAAAGCACTGTATTACAGTGCTTGACTCATGTCACGATAAGTCTCTCTGTCTCTCAAGATGATCTTGAGAGAAAAAACTCTTATTTGAAAACGCTTTTTTTATGGCTATCTGAAGCAAAACTTCTTTTTCATGGATGTGTTTGCTCTGAAATAGAATTATACATTGCTGATTTGTAGTCCTGTATCATCTTTTCCTGTTTGTAGATTTCCTCAATTATTCCATAATGTTTACTTGTTATTGCGTAATTACTTATTGCATAATAGTTACACCACATCCGCACTATATAAACTCTCGTTTTTCCATTTCCTAGTGTGTGTTCAATTCATTTTCAAAACAGACTACTACGAAACACTCTTGGACATAGTTATCAATATAAATGGGGGGGCTATCAAACATACTGTAAAAAGCCTTTCCTCAGTTTTGTGATCTTTTCGGTTCTTTCTTTGTTTGTAGATAGCCTGCAACGATGCAAATCTTCGTAAAAACTTTGACGGGTTTGTAATACTTCTAGTCCGTTGCTAGTTCAATGCTTTCTAATTATTAATTTCTCTTTTATTTAGGTAAAACAATTACTCTAGAAGTCGAACCGTCGGACACAATTGAAAATGTCAAAGCTAAAATTCAAGAGTAAGCTCTTTACTTTCTGTAAACGTCTAACTAAATAATCTTCATATATTTTAGTAAAGAAGGAATTCCACCTGATCAGCAACGTTTAATTTTTGCTGGTAAACAATTAGAGGATGGAAGAACACTTTCTGATTACAGTAAGTTATTTAATTGTTAAACGTTTTATTTTTAATCAAAAACTGCAAAAAATCATTTTTTTATTTTACATTTGTCGGAACTAATTCACACATTATTTGTACATTGTAGACATTCAGAAAGAAAGTACACTTCATCTTGTATTAAGTAAGTTCAATAGTGTCGTTTTGATTACTCAGATTTTTGAGAATATAATATTGTATTGTTTATAGGACTTCGTGGTGGAATTGAACCAACACTTCGCATGTTGGCACGAAAATTCAATTCTGACAAAGTCATCTGTCGAAAGTAATGTGGATAGTTTTCATTTTTAACATGAAGAATGGCCGTTAGATGGCTGTACTTCTTATATCCATCAAGGTTCCATACGTTTTTCTGTAATTCGAACGAAAAGATTCCCACGTATTTATTTTTTTCATCAGCACCTCTGTATACATTTCTATTTTATTTTATTTGCTTAGATGTTATGCTCGACTACACTCACGTGCCGTCAATTGTCGTAAACGTAAATGTGGTCATACAAGTAATCTTCGACCAAAAAAAATATCGATTTATAAACTGTGAAAATAGAAACAATAATGAACAAATAATAAAAAAGTATAAAATATAAAAAGATGTACCCGCCAGAGTATAATCCATATCAAAACCATAAAATTTAATATTGTCCAGTTGTAAACTTCTGTTGACAAAAATACTAAAAGCAAACACAAAACAATAGGTCTATTAATATAAACAAAAACTAGAATGCAATTGTGCTACGCACAAGTTGCGATGTCGACAGACTCTGTCTTTGACTGAACCTACCGCTCCAAGTAGATCCTATCAGTAGCCTGTGAGCATTGCATTTTTTGCTTTGATTTACTCAATATATATACCCAGGAGAAAAAAGATGGGCAATAAACTGCTCATTAACTACCAGTTTACAGTCTGCCTAAAAACTACCAGTTGACAACCTGTTAACTGTCTAAAAACCACCTAAAAACTGTCTAGTTTATTGGCCATTTTTAGGTCTGCAAAAATACAGTCTAATAACTCGGGTTATGGGATAGCTACCCAGGTCAAGCAATCATACTGTAAGATCTTACAAGATTCTTATAAGATCATATAAGATCGTACTTTAAGATCATGTATGTTCTTGCAAGATCGTATGAAAATTATATACGATCTTGTACGATTTGGTATGAAAATCATTGTCATCACGTACCAGACGAATATCGTACTGTAAGATTCTTGTAAGATTTTACTACAAGATCTTGTAACATCATATACGATCGTAGAAGATCATACTGTAAGATTTCCAGAGTATTTTATACGATTCTCTGCTGCATCCTGCAGCCGTTGGTAAGCTCCTTGCACTCTACTCTACTTGCTTTTTTGTCGAATGTGTACGTACATTGTTCGGGCATCATCAACGTACTTTTATTCACTGATATTCCAAACATCACGTGCAAATCACAGTTAATCATGATATGTTTTTGGAATTTCTGAATCTGGAGTTGTTTGAATTTCTAACTCTTTTTCTCTTCGCATAAGTAAAGAAGGGAGCCCACCTTTCCACTGCTTTTGGTCCACTGCTCTTTCGTATTAGTTATGATCACATTTTGTAGAGGAAGCGATTTACACATTTCGAAGTGCATATGAACCATTATAAGATTATGGAGACTTTTTAAAATAGCGTTTCTGAGGAGGTACATAAAGCATATGGGGGCTTAACAAAAACGATTTTGTTCAGAATCTAATATAAAATTATGGTAAAGCTTGATATAGAAAAATAGTCCTTGAAAAACTCTACAATATTCTGATTAAACGAATCCTGTATGTCATTGGCTCAATCCTCTATAGGCTAAATACGAGCCCAATGACATTTAAAAGTCAATACAACTGATGTTTTAGCCAATTTACTCTCATAAATAACAGAGGATCCAACTAGTCTTTAGTATAGAAAAATAGCTCTTGAATATGTAATATCCTAGTATTTATGCCATGTGGTTCTCGTTTTCGATCTGAATGTTCGTAAGGCAGAGGCGGTGAAAATGTTCAGACTTTATCCAGATGTTCAAGATAAAAGATCACTAAGCAGACATGTATCGAAAACTTTTACAAGGAGAGATATCACCAAGAATAAAACATTTCTCTCCAAGAATATATTTTTGCGTCTTCGAGTCCACTTCAGAATGTTGATGATCTATGGCTCTCTCTAGCTATGGTTCCATAATTCTGCCACTATTCAAAAAATTCTACTTGAGTTCGCAAAAATTCTGATAAAATGTCGGATATTTTCCAAATATCTGTTGATTTGGATAAAATTCTGGAAAATCTGTGACTTGTGAAAGTATAGCAATGATTTAGCGTCTCGTGTAGATCATGAACTGCCGTAGCTAGAGAGAGCCATGGAGATCATTGCATGCATTGTTAGAGTTTTATATTGCTTCTGCGCTCTCTGTATGTATTCATTTTTCTCTTTTATATTCTTTGTTCGTGGATTTCGTTTAATCAGAATATTGTAGAGTTTTTCAAGGACTATTTTTCTATATCAAGCTTTACCATAATTTTATATTAGATTCTGAACAAAATCGTTTTTGTTAAGCCCCCATATGCT